TAAATGAGGTGAAGGGAGATGACAGGCGCGGCCTTTAAGTACATCGGCATCGGCCATGAATAACACGGTAATCATATATTATTAGAAATATTCAAGATCATAAAAGTATGTATTATCATATACGTAAAAGTGATTATAATCAAATTACTAGGGAGTATACAGAGAGGAATGACAGAACGAAAAAAAAGTTTTAACAGCGTTAAATATTTCTTGACTTGTAACTCAATGCACGTTCGGGTGCAATTGGTCGAACATAAATTACTGGAATGCGAATGGAAATACATTTTTCAAGATTAAACGTAGTAATCGGAGAGATATTTGTCGTATTTGAACTACGAATATCATAATAATCTCATCATAAAATTAATAAATGTCACCACAACATCTTTTTAGCATCACTGCGGCTATCCTCAATGAAAGCTTTGAAACAGCTACCTGGCTCCCGCCGAAGGTGACCACAATGTGAGCGAAAAAGATTTCTGCTATAAAAAACTATTCTTATGAAGAGATAACGTCAGATCAAGTATTGAAACCAGAAACATGCACTACGACAAATCATCGCAACTTACAACGAAACTAAACTTTCCGAATTAGGTGGCTCAGGCAACATTTGATGTCATTGCAGTGCTTTTGATTGGGAGGTCCTCGGTTCAAATCCCGAGGGTTACCTACATCTATTACCAACTACATAGATAAATCGAATTCATCCGCTGACTGCAGGAGAATTCTGGCAGCCGGCTGCTCTGATCGGAGTTTTCTGTGGTTTCTCCGATCAATACCAGACCAATGTCAGAACAGCACCCTAACAAACCAACCATGGACTGCGCGCGATCTTTCTTTCCTCTTCCTTGACCTGTCTTCACTCCTTACTTACTGACACGTACACTTACATGCACTATGCTACGATACATGCCGGGAGACCAGTCGGGAGATTAGAGCGTTACCCGGCTGGGGCGGTGTCCCGCTAGTTGGAGATACCTGTTTGGGGAAAGCCCCGCTAGCCAAGGAGTAGGTCGGCGCCGGATTTCGCCATCCAACAGGTGAAGATCACTGCCACCTCCCGCGATAAAAACATGCACTGTATTTACGGAGCTACGAGTAATGACTTTAGCAGTTGGTGGACCCGGAAGCACTAATTAATCAATCTTTCAAGTGCAGACGCGGAGGAAAATATGGAATGGGGGAGAGGGATAGTCATCCCTACATTCCATCATCAATTACCGCCCCTCCCCGCTTCCTTCACTCTTAACGGACATCGCTGTCCGTCACGCAACGTGAATTGACGCGACAACGAGCATTTATCATATTCCCCTCCTCGGTTTCCCTAGGGGGGAAGAAACATCATACTGAGTTTTCAAATAATATTCGTCAATCACCGGCAGCAAAGAGGAATTTACGCCTGACTGGATAAAAATTAATTTGATGCGGTTGTCTTTCAAAACACACACACACACACAGATATTTATTGTTCTAAAAATCGTTTATCTGCGATTGCATGCTTCATTTAAATCAGTGCAGCCTTGCGGAAACTTTCTGAGCTTTCAGAGTACATTTGTTTTACTGGATTCTTTACAGTACTTTATCCCCCTTGGACAATAGGAAAGTGTTTTCATAACAACATAGCTTGCTTACTTTCAGTATCATACGTTCTAAATTTTATCCGTTGCAGTACGACATTAGTACCATATTGATTTATAATTAGCCCTATATGAAAACAAATTCACGACCAAAGATATACTCCTTATCTCTTCCAATTGGATCTGTATACTACGTTCGTGTATTACTAGGTCGGCATCTTAAGTTATGCTGATGAAGATGTAGAGGAAATACGAAACACCAAAAAATTAATTTCTTATTTACATTTGAAAATGATACTTGTAAATGGATTCTTTATTAACACATTAGCTGGAATTCGAAAAACATTATTATAGTGTTTGAACAGCATCTCTTCACAGTAAAAATATACAAAAATGGATCACATATTTGACGTGTTTCACGATCACATATTATTCACGTGTAGTGCACTTGAAGAAAAACATCGTTAGGGACTTAATATAATGTGAGCAGTGAAAGGAAAAATAAAAGCTCAAATGAAAGCGCAAGGAAAGTTCAAATTAAAGATTTTTTTAAATGTTGGCTTGACTGCTTCTCCGCGAAATCCCTGAAACCGCACTGCAAGTGACCGGTCTATCGCGAGCTATATCTTGCTGACCAATGGTTTGTTATAGCTTTTGTTATTCTGATGTGATAGTTTAGTTAAATTTTAAACTTCTGTCAAGAAGGCACCTTACAATATCGCCTTTCTTCCTAACAACGCCACAGGATTCTCTGTCGTAGCAACACATTATCCTATCGGCTGAGATGGCTCAGGACATCGGCTATTGCCCCCGCAGCATCTTTGACCGGGAGGTTCGTTGGTTCGAGTACCGGAGGTGACGAATTGCCGTCACTTAGCTACTTTGCTAGGTCCAATTCAGCCGCTGGCTGGAGAGGAATTTAGCCTGCTGCTCTAGTCGGTATTTGTTCGTGGTTTCTCCGATCAATTCCAAACGGATGCCAGGTTCAACCAAAAGTTCACATTCCGCGTACGATTTTCTCTTCCCTTCCTTGTCCCCTCCTACTCTCTTTCACACACACACAAATAACACTAACACACACGCCGGGAGACCAGTCGAAAGCTTGGAGCTAGTTCTGGCTAGGAGGGGGTGTCCCGATGGAGGAGATTCCTAGAGAGGGAAATCCCCACAGACCGACGTACATGTCGAAGAAGGATCTCATGATCAAGAGGAACAGCGCCACCTTCAGGAATATATCATGCACTACCACTAAGGGACTGATGAGACCGTAGTAGCTGACGCTCCGCGAAACCAATAACACACTTTCTCTCTCGCTCTCTCTCTCTCTCTCTCTCTCTCTCTCCTCTCCTCTCCTTCGCTCCTCTCTCTTCGCTCTCTGTTCAACCGCACTGCGGATCGGCTGGGGTTGGAGATGATCGTGGGTGAGCTGGCTGCAGAGGCGCGCGTTCACTCCTTCCGGGTGATTCGCCCGCTGAGCGCGTCTTTATTTAACTCGGATTGGACACAGCCGCCCGGGACCCGAGCCGCTCCCCACGCCTGGGGCTATTTCAATGGGAGAGTTGTGGGCGGAACATAAGAACGCGAGCGCATGGACTCAGCTTGCTACGAAAAAAAAAAAAAGAAAAACCCTCTTTCATTGCCACGATGTAAACTATCGTTTATTTTATTGCGGGTGGGGGTGGGGATAAAGGTTTTTATTAAAATGTGAATTGAAATGTTTAAACAGTTCAATATATAAGAAAAAAATATGACTGTCACTAATAATGTTAATAATTTATAACTACAGCATTCTTTTGTCTTTTTTTTGAGAATCAATAAACAAGTTAAAAATAATAAATGATTGTCCATATATTACTAGAACGCGACATTTTCCAATAATTAATTAGTAATTGCCAATAAGTTTTTTTTTGACAATTTTTATTGATGGTCAAAAAAAAAGAGTCCCTGAGTGTTAAATTATTGTAAGTTCACTGCTACAATTTTCCCCACAATTTTGTTCACCTTTTACTTGACCAAAAGAGAGCAAATATTCACCTCAACAATTTCCAGATTTTTTCTACAAAAATGAATCCTTTTAGCCATGATGTGGATTGTTTTTATCAATACAGTTTCTTGTGAAATAGTCACATTCTTGAAATAATCGCATTAAAAATAAGTCGATGGGTTTGAACATCTCAAATAAACTCATTGATGTGTGAATCCCGAATTTATCATATTTCGTATAAACTTTTTCAATTTTATTCACACAATAGTGGACAAAACAATGTGTGACACTCCACAATCAGATTTTATTTAATTCGTGAAAATTAGTACGCAGGTTATCCGATGCCTAAACTTTTTCACTGTTTTATTTTAATTTAAATACCACTAAATCGTAATACAGCTTAAATTTGTTAACAGAATCAACGTGTTTTAAAACGTTCCAGCAAGGGAAGTAAAAGCGCTTCATCTCAAAGTAAGCTTTCTGTGTAAATATTTAATAAGGAGAACGCTTCGTTAGAGTCGGTTCTTTGAAGTTGCCCTTTCCGACCCGCAATCGGACGACAATTTTCCCCGCAGCTTTCACTCGAATTGTCGGTGACACGCTCCCGTATATTTCGTCGGTGACGCGACGTTGTCTTTGGGGGCAATTGCTCATGCGGGAGATGCGGCGTGTGTGGGCGCTGAGAGTGGCGCGCAGCCTGAGGCTCGCAGCCCTGCTCTCAGCGTCTCCCCTCGTGTGCCCGAACCCAAACATGCACTTCCGCCCTGCGCGTTCACACTCCGGTCTAATCTGGGAGAAACATACCCACAAACAGTATCCTCGCGAATTGTCACTCAATTCCGAATGTAGGATTTCTTTTCTTTTTTTTGTGAGAAATAATGTATACGCGTTTGACACTGTTCCTTTTTTTTCACTGGAAAATGAGATTTTGTCGCAAGAAATCGTCAGTAAAAGCACAGGATCTAATGCATTTTTATGTATTTTTTGATAAAAAAATATGCCGCATTCAGAATATTTTTAAGTTAATATTTTTTTAAAGGTTTAGTAAACGTAAGACATGCAACAATGAACCAACATTAGTCAGTTTGCTTCCGTGCCTACCTGAAGCTCTGGATCACGAGAAACGCGAGTAGCACGAGTTAAACCAATAAACAAATGCACACCGTCCGCGCCATAGCCAAGGAGGGCGTTGTGAGCTCGCAGGAGGCCAATGAGCTACTGCCGCTGTACCCGGCTCAGTGAATCACGCGCGTCGGCGGAGAGGGAAAATTAGACGACGGCGAAGCAGACGCCGCCGCCGGCCGCACGCGCTTGACACCCCGCGTGGAGGCAATTTTTAGCAATCGTGCGGGAGATCCCAAGCGTGCCAGCGTCCGAGTATCTACGTCACGAACTATCGTCGGGGGATCAAATATTTAGTGGATGTTTTCTTGCTTATAAAATGATTCTCTGAAAACTTGCCCGATCTTCTAGTCGCGCGAGATCAATGGGCACCGTCCGCTGGAGCGCGACACTATCGGTTCTCGAGACATTTGTTTTGATCACGTGATCACACTGGTGCTAGGGACTGGGCGAGAGACGTCAGTCAAGTTAGAAGAAAAGTAAAATGGATGCTGTTTGTTTTGTTTCTGGTGATTAAGTTTCTGAATTAAACTACGGAGGTCGTGTGTTTCGACAAAAAGTACTTTTATTGAAATTGTCTCTCGTTGATAGTAATTTATTATTACTATTGAGAAAGCCAACAATATGGCATCAACCTCAAGTGCTGCAGATGCTGGAACATCATCTCAAGCGAAATTTGCTGATAGAATGAAAAGATTGAGAGATCTTCATATCAAAAGGGTAATACGACTTTAACGGTTGTATGACGTTAATTTTATGACAACAATTTTGTAATATTTTAAGGAATACACAAATGTTGACTATGGACTGCAATGATACATGATCTATATCCTTTGTTTCAGAATGAAGCACGAAAACTAAATCATCAAGAAGTTGTTGAAGAAGATAAAAGAAATAGTTTACCTTCAAATTGGGAGGCGAGAAAGCGCCGTGCGGAATGGATTTTACAGGATGAGGAGAAACGCAAAGCTGCAGATGATGAGGTACAAATTTTATATTTTTGATAACATTTCCTATGATCGACAATGTTGATTAATGCCAGTCCCTTTCTACATAGGGTATTGATTATGATCGTTCAAAACTTCTTGAGATAAGTGCAATGGATGCTGAAAGACTAGAAAAAAAGAAGAAAAAGAAAAATCCTGACCAAGGATTTGCTGACTATGAGCAGGCCACAATAAGGTAATTGATTTAGTCTTTAATCATGAAATAAAATGCTGTGCATGACAGATAAAAGATGAATAAATGAGTGTTCATGTTTGTGATTAAGTAGGTTAAATGTTTTTAACTAGAGGTTAAGTTAGATAGGAATTTCTAATGAACTACCTAAAATGCTATTGTCAAGAGAGAACAAACATCGCTTATCTAAATTACTGTTTCTGTTGTAGAATGTTATTAATTTTGCTGGGATCCCAAAAACTATTTTATTTTAAAGGAGTTAAATTTAATTTTTATTAAACAATGTTCATTTCATCAAGGCCATTGATAACAACTGTAATAATTATTAAGTAATATTTAGGCAGGAGGCACTAATCCCTATTGCCATAGCTCACTGAAATTGACTGTCTGGTAAAAGATTCCTGAAGCCATTTTCATTTCTATATGAATTTGTTATTTATAATTACTACAAAATTAGTTTCTTTCATTGTCAGTATGAGAACTCAAATAGTAATGACAAACTATTTCCTACAATTTTGAATTTTAACTGATGAATTCACTTATAGATGTTTTTTCAGTATAACTTTGTGATGTACTGATTTGCCTTAACACATGTGTAATATTCAGTAATGATTTGAAGGGAAAATCTGTTGTATGTTGTTTCAACGTAATCTTTATGTTCATCTAGTAATTGAAAGTATATTTTGATTTAGAAAATAAGACACTGCCATCTTTTCTTTTTGTGTTTCACATCATTAAATCAGAACGAAACATCTCTTTGAGTATTTTTAGATCTTTCAAAAACTTTTGATGTCATTGAACACATTTTACTTTCAAAATTACCTTCATATGAAATTCAAGGTATTGCCCTGGAGTAGATATCTGTGCTCCTTAAACATCAGTGGCAAAGAGTAGAAATACCAGACAGGCAGGAAAGAACTTCATTTACCGAACTTTCCAATTCTTTACCAATTGAGTGTGTAGTCAATCCGGGTTCAGTGTTAAGCTCTGACCTCTTCTTTTTATATGTAAATCATAAGTTCTCGTCCATTAGAACAGAGCAGTTGTGTTTGTGATGACATAAATGTCCTTTGCAAAAAAGAAACAATAAATAGTATGATTTCAGAAGTTTCAAATTGGTTTCATAGTAGCTAATTAATAATAAACAAAGGGAAAACAGTTCCAATGCATTTGTAAAAAAATTCAAATTGCCAAATGCATGTGTCATTGAAAGTGAACAACATGTGATTGGTTGATGTTAGGATAACAAAATTTCTGGGTATCGCTATTCAATTCAGTCAAATCTTTAATGGATTATACAAATAACTGAATTAAACACTAAATTAAGCTCATTATGTTACATGTTCAGAATTCTCTTAGATTCTGTCAGCAGTCGGGCAGCTCATTGTGTATATTTAGATTGCAGACAAAATTAAATAATAAGCAAATTCCACCTATGTGACTCCTGCAAGCCTCTGATCATTGTGGTTGGAATCTTACCATTGTTTTGCCCATTTATTTTTCAATCTAATTTTTGTCAAAACTGACTTACTTAAGGGTGGGAATATGTTTTCTTGCTATTCTCTTTCTTAAAACAATTCTAAAAATAGAATTCCCATTGTGCGTTTTGGAATTGCAACTGAAT